ACCGATTAATTCACTCCACACGGCCCCTCGGCCTGTCCCAGGATGCATTTAGTCGAAAAGGATTTTGGTGGAGTGGAGCGGTTACCCCAAGTGTGAACAAACATTTGAGCAAAGCACATCGATGAGATGTGATTTGTGCCACATGAAGACCCACAGAGACGGCGAGGGTTTCACAGCAAGGATTTCCCTTCCGTGTTAAGTGTGATGCAGGGTCAGGTGAACATGTGCGGCCGCACCACAGACAAAGCCCTCAGCACAACCAGCATTTGAGAAGAGGAGGAGAGGACAGAGGAAGGAGGGGGAGAAGGAGGAAGAAAAGAGGAGTAAGAGGAGGAGGGAGGATCTATTCAGTGGAGTGAAATGAATAGAAAGTTTTCCCAGGAACCGTTCTTGCACCCGCCCGTGGCTCGCACTGGCAGTCCAGAGCACATTAGACATCACAGGAAGCACTGGGCTGGCTGAACAGTCACAGCCCAGTGAGGAGGCTCCACGCTCCACTCCCCTCGTTCCTCCAGGTGGGCCGGCGCTCTCCACCAAGCCTCACGCCCTCCGCAGTGCCTTCCGCTGACACACAAGGCGGCCATGCCCACCACGAGTGGACGGACACGCCTGGGAAGGACAAGGTAGCTGTGCCCCCAAGCGGACGGACACACCTGGGAAGGATGAGGCTGGTGGGCCGGGACTCGGGACATGGGCCTCCAGAGCCGCCTCTGCACCAGCTACCGTCCTCTCCGAGGATGACGTCTCCACCTCCTTCCTGAGCACGCTGTCCTTGGGCACTGGTGGCGGGGCTGCCACTCTGCACACATCCCGATTCATGTACCGATGGTGAAAGGCAGCACTGCCCACAGCCCGCAGCCAGGACTCAGAGAGGGCCACAGTGGACACGTGCAAGACGTGCAGCTTGAGCCCAGCCAGACTTGAGTGCTGGACTGTCTGCCTTGGGCTTCTGTCTGGGACAGGTGGGGCCCCTGTTGGGGGGACAGGCAGGGCCTCTGTCGGGGGTCTCTGTCGGGGACAGAGTGGATTTCTGTTGGAGACAGGTCGGGTCTCTCTTGGGGTCTCTGCTGGGTCTCAGTTGGGGACAGAGTGGGGTCTTTGTCCAGGTCTCTGCCGGGGGGACAGTCTGTGTGGGGGACAGGGTGGGTCTCTGTGGGGACAGCCACCTCTCCCTTCCCCTTCACTGCCTCTCCACCCTCAGCTCAAGGAAATTACATTTCAGCCAATCAAGGCAAATTAAATTTAAAAGAAAGGAAAGTTGAAGTCATCCTTGGCCAGCAAAAATGTATTATTCTATGTTGTTTGGATTTTGAGAAACAATCGTTTCCTCCCATGAACCAGACAGGCCCCATCGCTGAGAGAGACCGAGACACGTCTCACCATGCCCTCCAGAAATGCTTAAAGCTCCAGCATTGGAAATGGGTCGATGTGGGTTTTATTAAACCCAGGACCTGTCTTCCGCTGTCTGCCCACGGACTTTGCTATCTGACTCTTCCATGCAGCCCCTCCTAGGATATTACTGCCCCCAGGAAAAGGGCCAGGACCTCCCGGCTGGGTTCCCAGCAAGGACTCGGAGACACCCAGGGCTGGGTCCCTCTGACCTCTGCTCCCAAGAGGGTCCCAGCTAGCAGCAGCCTTCCCACTGCCTTCCTCTAAGGGGTCAGTGCTGACTGGAAGGCCAGCGCCACACCCAGGTCTACCTCTTCCCACACCAGGTCTGTCTAGTGGCCCCTCCCCTGCCCCTCCCCTTCCCCTGCCCCTCTCCTATAGCTGCCCCTCCCCTCTAGCTCCTCCTCCCCTGCACCTGCCCCTCCCTCAACTCCCCCTCCCCTATAGCTCCCCCTCCCCTACAGCTGCCCCTCCCCTCTAGCTCCCCCTCCCCTGCACTTGCCTTTCCCCTACACCTGCTCCTCCCCTACACCTGCCTCTCTCCTACATCTGCCCCTCCCTACGCTGTCTTCCTGCTGTTCCCAGGATTTTTCCATCTTCTCTTTCCTTCATCTTTTAAATTTATTTTTATTTTCTTGAAATCTAGGCATTTGGGCTCTTCTAGAAACTACAAGTATAATTATAAATAAATAAATAGAGGTAACCTTGGGCACCAGAGAGGTTTGTGTTGTAGACCCAGGATCAAAAAAAAAAATGGCACGCACTAACCTAATCCAGTCAACTGCCTGTGCGGGGTGGAGAGGGGGACTAAAACTGGGTTTTATAGTTCCTGTGGCATGCATAGAACATCACAAAATTCAAGTGTGTGCGTGCAAGGTGGGTGTGTCAGGTCCTAGCCATTTCCACCCCTCCAGTCACCAATGGCTGCCCACTAGATGGCTGCTTACATGCCACTTGAATTCCTGGTGCCAGGGCTCATCCTACAGAATTGCCTTCTGGCTGTGTGTCTGCTGCCTTCTGGCTCAGCCTAGATACTTGTGTGCTTGCCTCTTGTGCTGTTTTACCCTTGACTTGGGTCTGCATTCACTGTCAGGCTCAGACCTCAGTGCTCTGCCATCCAGACAGTGGCCATCCAGCCTTGTAGAAGTGACTAAAAATCCCTCTGTTTTAGTGATGTTAATCAAGTGAATGCAACAACATCTGTGTTTGCTGCAGATTCTAAGCCCACAGAAGGACCGGAGCACCACGCCCAGGTGACACCGTGTCAGGCAATCTCTTCTCCATGCTTCCTGCTTCTTGCTGCAGAGGTTTGTGCATTCACTGTACTTCAACCAAGTCAGACACAAAACCAAGTCTCCATGGAACCACAGAAAAGTTCTGTTGGAGGAGGGGGCCCAGCAGCTGGTGGGGCTGAAGGTCGAGGCAGCATCTGACCAAATTAGGGGATGGAGAGGGTTTCCCTGGCCTTACATTGTGATTCTAGAGCCAATTCTAGAGCCAAGCATGGGACCTGCTCAGTTCCTGTGCCTCCAGTACGGGCCATGTTCTTCCCTACACTCCACCTGGTGGACAGATGCCGCCGAGTGATGGGACAGGCCTGCAGCAGAGAGCGTCCACCCAGTGTGACATGTCCCTGCACTGAGCGTCCACCCGCATGACACATCTCCACAGTGAGCATCCACCCGCATGACACATCTCCACAGTGAGCATCCACCCGCATGACACATCTCCACAGTGAGCATCCACCCGCATGACACATCTCCGCAGTGAGCATCCACCCTGCGTGACACATCTGCACAGTGGGCTCCACACAGCGTGACAGGTACCCATCATGAGTGTCCACCAGGCGTGACACATCCACAGTGAGCATCCACCCTGCGTGACAAGTCCACAGTGAGCATCCACCCGCATAACACATCTCCACAGTGAGCATCCACCCTGTGTGACAAGTCCACAGTGAGCGTCCACCTGGCGTGACACGTCTCCATGCTATGGGGGTGGGGAGGGGTAGTGTCACGGTTCTAAAAGTAGCAGAGGTGGAATTTCAACTCTGTCTTCTTAACCACAAAGTCTGTTCTCTTCCCACTGCTCAAGAAACAACACCCCTCAAAAGGAAGAAGACAGGAAAGAGCTCTCGGCGTGACACGGCCCCTTCCACATCCCCTCTTCCTGGGAGCAAGAGTCACAGGGAGAGCAGGAAAGTCACCCTCTCCCAACTATTCCCTAAGAAATCACGAACACAAGCCAGGTCCAGGAGGGGAGGCAGAACCCTGGCCTTCTTCTCCCAAAGTCCTGTCCCAGAGTCGAAGGAAGAACGGCTTATGTAAGGGAAACTACTACATGGTGTCCTGGAGCCTCAGCCTCGTGGGGATCTGCTGCCTGAGGCTCTGTGACAGGCCTGCTGGGCCTGTGCACCCACACCTTGGGACTGTGCGATCCACAGGGGCCTCGAACACGGGCAGAGGCTGGCTACCACAGCCGGGGAGCCCACCTTCAACCCAGGTAGCCCTGGTTGAAGACAACACCGGAGGGAGCGAAGGGAAGGGAGGGGGGGAGCAGAGAGAGAGGCCTGGGGAGGCGCCCTCTGTGGTCTGAAGGGAGGCTGGAGTGCAGAGGCCACTCCTGCTCCCCAGGCCCCTGAGTCCCTGTGGCTCTCGGGCTCCCCTGTGTGGCCTGGCAGGGTAACTGTCCTCAGATCCTCTCCACAACTGACAAGAGCCACACCCCCTTCCCTCTGCACCAGCCTACCTCATCCCCTTCCTCACGCCTCTGCTGGCCCTGTCACAGGACAAACGGTGGCACTGGAAGGCTGGGCCACGCTGGCGGTGTAGCTTGGAGTGCAGGCATTTGCAGAAGAACATGAACCGTGGCATTGGCAGTTCACACGGTCGGACTCAGAAGACAACAAGAGTCCAGAAGCCTGGACAGCGCGAGGGAAGCTCCAGTCTGCAGACTAAGTTACGGCAAGGAGTGCGGCCTCGACTGCCTCTGTCTCCAGCTGCATGCATCACCTTCCACACAGAGCAAAGGGCCCCACAGCCAGCTACTGCTCAACATCCATGTGCTGCTCAACATCCACGCAGAGCAAAGGGCCCCACAGCCAGCCCATCACTCACAAGGCCTTGCAGAGTGAGCTGGCGAAGAGAAAGAGAAAGTTCAAGCCAGGCACCGCTGGCTCACGCCTGTAATCCTAGCTACTCAGGAGGCTGAGATCTGAGGATCACGGTTCAAAGCCAGCCAAGGCAGAAAAGCCTGTGAGACTCTTATCTCCAATAAAGCACCAGAAAACTGGAAGTGATGCTCTGATCTAAGTGGTAGAGCACTCGCCTTGAGCTGAAGAGCTGAGGGACAGTGCCCAGGCCCAGAGTTCAAGCCCCACAACCAACCAAAGAAGAAGAGGAGGAGGAGGAGCAAGAGGAGAGGCAGGAACAGGAGGAGGAGGAGGAAGAAGAGGAAGAAGAAAAAGTTCAGAAAAGGCAAGCCAAGGAAGGGACCCAGTGCATCCACTGTCCCATCCTGAGGACAGCTTCTTCCTCCTGTCTCAACACGATTTACAACAGCAACAGTGCTTGATCTGGGTGCACAGAGGTGGGGACTGCGATTCACGGTACCTGTACACCATGCCTGTCTGCGCCTTCGTTGTTTCCTGAAAGGAGAGGCCGTGGGCACGCAGAAACCTCTCCAGATGCCCGGGCTCCACGGCCGCGCCAGGCCTGCCCGGCCAGCGAGCGCCCTGGGCCGGAGCCCTGACCACTGCGTGCTGGCGTCTGCCCCTCAGGGCAGACTCGCCAGACCGGGCCATCCCCAGCGTGGGGCTGGGGATGTCCGCGCAGGCTGGCTTGTAAAGGTGCATGCTTCCCAGGCAGACCTCGGCGCTAACACTGGCGCCGCTTGGCTGGACCGCCTGGCTTCCAGTGTCCCTAAAAGGAATCAGCTTGCTTTCCTGTCTCCTTATTTTGTGGATTCAAACAGACTCGGTCCCAGCGGAGCTGCTGGGTACAGCTCTGCCAAGACCTGGCCAAAAAAGAAGAGCCGGTGGAGGCCAGCCATTCCCCTCGACTCTTCAAAGGTCTGAAAGCCAAACATAAGCAAGGACACACTGACCTGAGAAGGAGTGCAGGGCCCTTTCCCACGCCTCTCTATTTAGACAGAAAGGGAGGAATGTGTTCGGCTGGGGGCCAATGATCTGTGTTCACAAAGACCGTACACAAGGCCTTGGTGTGATCCTTCACTGGGGAGTGAGACATCGCCAAAAGACCAAGTGTTCATAGCTGAATAATTTTTATAATGGTGCCGTGATTCATTTGGGTGAAAAGTTCATTAAGCATTTCCATGTTTTCAGATGCTGCTGTCAAGAGATAGGAAGAAATCAGTTTGGTGGGTTTAAAAAACAAAAAGCTCACACAAATATGGACAACTGAGTCTTATAACAACAACAACAGAAAAAAAAAAAAAAAGCAAAAGTCTGAGAGCAAGTCTGTGGGGGAAGACATCCCCACTGGAGTGACGATGAAATACCAAAATAAATGAGAAACAGGTCCTTGACGTGAGCCTTGTATTTGTATAAAAGTTGAAAGTAGATTATGAACGAGGAGAAAACTAAGAAGTAAGTGAAAAAGTATATAAAAGTGAAATAAAACGTATTCTAGGAAAACACAGGGGACAAATGGTAGGACCAAGGTCCTAGTGAGAATCCTGAGACTGGATGTCCTTCTGGACAATCTCTGAAATCTTAGAAGTGGAACATGATATCCAGACCTCTCGAATGAATGCTGTTTAATTTCATAGTCCAAGTACCATAGATTAGTTCATCATCGCTTGGATGGTAGTAAAAGAAGAACCCAGAATAGGACACATTTCCTGCTCCCATGTTTCTCAACTGGTATAGAATGTTGACTCCACTGGATATTCATTCATCAGAGAATATTTTTAAAACACAGTTAAACTTAATACTACCTTGCATAAATGACCATCTGGAACATAAAATATTACAAACAGTTTGGAACACTCAATGTTTTGTTCAGCAGATGTGTGGATAGTCTCCTAATTCCTACACTAACTTGGGGACAGGGAAGGCTGCTCTTTCCAAACCTGCTCCCCTCAGGAATTTTTTTTTTTTCCGGTTGTGGGACCTGAACTCTGGGCCTGGGCGCTGTCCCTTAGTTCTTCAGCTCAAGGCTACCGCTCTACCACTTGAGCCACAGTGCCACTTCCAGCTTTTTCTTTCTGCTTATGTGGTACTGAGGAATCGAACCCAGAGCCTCAGGCATGCTAGGCAAGCGCTCTACCACTGAGCCACCTTCCCAGCCTCCCCTCAGGAATTTTTTGTATGGATTAGTTTCTCTTTAGTTCTAGGGACAATCAAATAATTCAACCATGCTTTGGGACAGCTTGTGGCACTCCTAACATTCATTGATGCAACAAGATTAAGTTAGAAAATTCAGATACGAAATGCACTTTGGCTTTGGTTCTTTGTTCTAACTGAGAAACTCTTAACTGTCCTAAGCAGCCCCTCCACATTTCCACACATCTTGTCCAAGGAGCCAGGAAGGAAAATGTCAGACTGCAGTGAGGGCCAGGCAGTTGTTTTTAAATGAGATTAGACACAAAGCCAGGCTGGGTCGGCCTTCTGTGCACAGACTGTCTGGCCACTCTCACAGGGAGTCCTGGAGGGGTTTGTCACTAGGAACTGGAGCATGCTGTGGTTGAAGATCCTGTTCAAAGCACACTCTGGCTCCGCAACTGCAGCCTGACTGGCAAGCCGCCCTGGCTCCCACCCAGCGCTCCCGGCTGGGTGTCCACGGGACCCCACTCCTCGGACACCTCGGCCCCAGTCTGGCCCCAGCGTTTCCCTGCGCCCAGCCAGGGTGGCCTGCAGCTCTCCGGGGTCTCCTCCACACCCAGGAGTTCCAGGGAGGGTGGCCCTATTGCCCCAGAGACACAGACATTGAGCCAGGCCAGGTCTCTAGATTGGACTTTGAACAAGGGCCTGGCTTGGTCCTCTGTGTTTGGGGAAAGAGCCAGACTCTGCTCCAACACCTCTCAGTGGCATAGGCCCAACTGCTCCCAAAGCCCATTTTCCTCTCTTCCTAGCTGAGCACTTGGACTACATTTCCCATCATCCCTCGATGGACAGTAACTGAAGACCCATAGGAGGCTATAACAAACATGCAATGTCTTTAAGGATTCTTCCATGTTTCACCCTAGGTAATGTTTTACAGATAGTTTTGTTCATATTTCATAAGTGAAGCAGGTTTCTGTGCTACACACAAATCACCAGTGGAGCTATCAGTTTCCTGTCATGCAGCTGGAAGTAAACATAGCTAGAAGTCCAGGAAGCCTTCTGGAAGCGTCCTCAAACCCATCTACAGAAAGGCAACTTGAGGAACAGCACATTCTGCTGCTGACATTAACTTATGAGACAATAAAATAATAGGTCACCATCACTGTCCAGTCACATCAAGGGAGGAATTCTGAGCGCTGGGATATGAAGAGAAAAGAACTAGCAATGAGAATTGCCTTCAATTTTCTGAGCTATGCAAACACCCAGTTCTGCAAATTAGTCATGTAATTTTTAAATGCACTGAATTCCAGCAACACACAATCTTTCCTTCTCAAAATGGCCATGCTGCAAAAATAAAGAAGGACGAGCATTTTTCACCTTGCATGATGAAAGACTTCACTCTTTAACACACTCTATAACACACTTGGGGAGCAAGGGGCTGTTGCCCACCCGTGAACAGCACTGGCCTGCAGAGGACCCTAGAAGGCGTTCATTCGGAATCACACTTTAGCCAGTCTTTTCTGACTCCAGGACAAGTCGCTGTTGTTTAAGCAGAAAAGAGGAAAGATTTGCTTTTTCTCACTGAAGAGATTTGTTTCCCACTGAACTTCATTATCTCACTGATGATCCCCTCTGACGTGATAAATGGGGTCATGTAATAGAGCAGGGATTTTGCGTTCCTGTGTTAGAGTCTAAATGGAAGTCCAAAGTGAGTCGCAGAATATATTATGGAAAGAAACCATTATTAAGGCTTTCCTTTGACATTTTTTCCCCAGAGGCTCTTTAATAATAGCTTCAACATTTATAGATGTGAGGGTTATGTAATGATTTGAGAAATGAGTTGTGAGCTGAAATCACTTCTAACCCTGCCAGTTTCACTGGAGCCTTGTTCAGATGAGCTCACCTGGTCCACAGTCCCCAGCCCTGGTACCCCAGCCATCGCAGGACAGTAAACGATTTCCCAGAACATTTCCAGAAGGCTTATTTTGTTCTACTTTGTGCATATTGGTTTTTGAATTGTGGCTTAGAATGGGAAGCATCTACTTTATTCCAAGTAAGTACAAGCATTTTGGGGTGTGTCTAGCAATGTTCAGACTTAATTCTATGTCGGATGCTTTCACAGATAAATTATGCTGCAGAATTTCCAGGTTAGTGCCCAACCTCTACAAAAGACCTTTTCCATATTTTGACCAGTTCATTAAAGGCTATTTTTCAATTCTCAAAGAAGTTGTATTATTATTTCAAGAAAACTGTCTTTCTGGCACTATGTTCACAGTGATTCCCCTTGCAAAATTGTCTTTAACTCCTTACCTCTTATTTATTTATTTATTTTACAAATCACAGGAAATAAGCAGCTTTGAGTTTCTGGTCCCAACAGACACTTTGTTCTCCCTGAGTGCTTTCCTTTATTACTGGGTTTGTGAGGTGATCCTTCTTTTGTACTATCTGAGGCTGAGAGAGTCTGGGGTGCACATCTTCACAGGGCCCTGACCCTGCCCAGCCCCCCCCCCCCGCCCCTGCCCCGCTGCAAGTGTCCTCTAAACCATGTGTTCAAGGCAAAACACAGCCTTCCCCTCCCAGCTTCTCACAGGAAACCAGACCACTGCCAAGTCTGCCAGACATTTTCCAACAATTTCTGAACTCCTCCTCTGACTTTTAACCTGAGAAAAATCTTAACTCTCTGCCTGCCAGCCTCTTCCCAAGGCAGGGCAGCAGGGATGGGGGGGGATGCTTTCTAGAAAACAAGCCATGGAGCCCATTTGCCTGAGCCCTGCACTTTGCAATGGGCATCCTGCAGGCCCAGTAGTGTGGGCCTGCGCTTCCCAGCAGGGCAGAAAAAAGCACAAAGCTTCCCCTTTCCAGAGCATCTGCCAGGGGCCTCTCCTGAGGCCCGGCCCAGCCCAGAGCCCAGCCTGGAGCCCACTGAGGAGCGAGGAGCTCACCTGTGCGGCATGCCCGTGACACAAGCCGTCGTCTGCTCGGTGGACAGGTCACAGAGCTTCAAGTACCAGTTCATCTCCACTTCCCGAAGCAGAGCCAGCTGCCGGGCCCTGAGCTGGCTCTGCCCCGAGGCGCTGGGGCTGCCGTCCTTGACATTTTCAGAGGCTTTCTTGGGAGATTTGTCTTTCCCCCCAACAGCAAATACAGACTGCTTCCTTAACTTGGGATTCTCTTCTGAGATCTGAGAGCCAGCGGCACCTGTCCGGGCTGCCAGCATCCTGGAAACTCCACTCTGTTCTTCAGTGAAGACTCCAAGTCACTGGCATCAAAGTAAGGTGAATTGATTTTTCTCTTCTGCCTCCCCCTGCCTCCCGCCCCTGCCCCTGCCCGCCGGTCCCCTAACCTCGTCCTGCCAGAGCTGTAACTGAGCCCCACAGGACTCTGGGTGTAAGGGAATCCATCTCTAGTGTTTCCTGACGGACAGGTCAAGCAGCCGCTACCTGTTTCATTCTGGAACATGGAAATTTTGAAAACAACTCCTGCAACTTGATACTCTTGGGGTTTTATGGTGCTATTTCTTCTGTAAATTTCTTGCAACAGATAACCCTGGACCTGCCATCCTGAGTTTG